CAGAGATTTCACAGCGTAAGAAACAGTACAGCGCGTCGTTTTAAAGCTTCCCTTGAAATTAAGTCCAATCGAGAGAGCGAACGAATCAACGTAATTTATTTCAACAAATGCGGATTCTCGCAGTCAAGGAAAAGCGAAGCACAGGAACTTTACATAAACGAAGTAAGAATTATTATGAACGAACGTGAAAGATCGACGAACATACATAACATATTCATAAAAATATGATAAGTTATGCTAAATCGAAATCGATATGAATACAACGAGGCAAGAGCGTACATATTAATGCATCTCAATAATGTGTTTGTGTATGTATGTAATTTACATTGATATCTGTTGGAATGTACTATTCGTTTGATCAATGATCGTATTATGTATTAAAGCTTTTAAATCTAATTTACTCTGTTTATCACTCATATCACTCATTATCACTCATATTCAGATTTTTGCGGATTATTTAGATAATGTATTCGCTCGTTCATTCCTTAATTCAAGTAGATTCCAGTTCGCACACAATGTGCGTTGAAACTGGCCTAGTGTGCCCGCGTACGTGATTTACACACGATCACACGCACTATCACATACACGCATTTGGGATCCGCTGGTCAATTTGCGGCAATTACTTGGCTGTTGCGACCGGTTAAAGTCACTTAGCCTCCGCGTAGATCCGTGCGCACGAATCATCCGCAACGAATGATTCCATCATCGGACTTTGCGAATCGTCAACCGCGAAAAAGACGCGCATAAAAAGATCCGTAAAATTCTACACATGCCGCAAATTTGGATTAATAAAATTACAATTGAAAATATCTTGCCTCGAGTTGACGCCACAAATGCTAAATTAAATATGGTGTAATACAGCTTTCAAGAAAGCTCCTCTCTTAAAACGTGGTTAATAATTAAATTAAAAGGAAGGTGATAAATTAATTAGCATGTGTAGAATAAACATAATCGATTCTTGTATACTTACGCTACTTGATATTTTATATACAAATCAAATATTAAATTTTTATTTATAACAGAGAAAAAATTTTTTTTAGTTTATTCAAAAATCTATAAAAATCAACAGATTAAATTTGCATTTGTTATATTTTTTTCTCTATTACATAAAATAATTTAAGAGACATAATTTATTTATAATAATTAGTTTTTACATTAGGAAAAATTATCCGCTTGCTTAAGATGAAAATATTCGAAGCTTGCGAAGATCAGCATTCAACATGGCTAATAGATTTAAAATTATGCACGAATGCAGACGAGACGCGTTGTGTGTTGTTTAGACCAATATATACATTCGGGTTATCTTTGGGGTTAAGGCCAGATTAACTTTATATCTCGTGATCGAAGAAAACTATAGACGTAATCATGCCTACGTAAGCGAGTCCGTGGATCTTATTATGCCGAAGAAACATGGCATTGAACGATTAATATTACATACTGCTAAAATATTTTTTGGCCTTTTTTAATTGAAAGCAACAGAAAAATATCAAAAATAAAAGCTGAGAAATTTTGTTTTATTTTTTGCTTACGATATATCTTTTTGAACAAACGTACAAATTACATAAATTAGATTTTTATTACATTTTATAGTTTATTTTATTTGATTTTTCACTATATTTTTCCGTATATCTGTTGAAAACGTTACTTTTCTTATTTCAATTCTCTTACATGTTGGCAAAAACGATATGTGACGTTATAATCTTTGTCACAATTACGTTTAAAAATAGCGATTGACACTTTTTATAAAAAATTCAGATTGATGAATCAACTGCTTTCCAGTAATGACTATGTTCACATATACATATATACATCGCTATGTTAACAAACATGTATGACGTAAAAGAGATCGCCGTATCGATATCGCTTTACAATCTGAGAAATAACGACGGTTTTTTCATCTCGTGAGGCGTGTCTCTTGTCAATCATCGAATGCTCATCAGCAATAAACCTGTGAAACGTAATCTCATGGAATTCCAAATTAATTTCGGTGCAGTTATATCCCAACTTAACGCGCAACTTTTCCTCCTTTTTTCGAAAAGTTCTCTTCGTCGGATAAAATAGTCGTCACGTTTTATTCATGCGACATTTCGTAAAAACGTTTCGAAGACAAGGCGCGGAAAATGGCCGCGGCGGAGCGCGACGTGCGGAAAAAGCCGTCGATCGGTGATCACGAGTCGCCGGTTACATAAGCGCCTTCTCATAATTACAGCGAGCTTCTGCTTCGCGCGAGCTGAAGGAGAAAGAGAATAAGAGAGTGGGTCAGAACCTAAATGAGTGAAGAGAGAGAAAGATAGAGAGTGCACGAGAGGGCGACGATGACACCGTTGTCAGAGTACGAAAGTCCAGATAGATGTGAGAGCGATAAGGATAGTGATGTGCGTGCAGTACACCTGTCAATTAACATCTATAATAATAGAAAAACAGAAGAGGGAGAAAGTCCGAAATTATTCGAAGGACATTTGAAATTGTTAATTATTTTGTTTACATTTCTATACATTTCTATATATCTACGATTGTGTAATCAGAAGAAAATTTTATAGTTCAGAAGAATTAAATATACAGATCAGCCTGGAAGTCTTAAATATTATTACCTAAAGAATAAATAATATACATAATAAAAAATAATATACATAATACAATAAGCCCATATTATAAGAAAAAAAAAAATTAGTGAATTTTAATATGATTAAATTGATATTTATTTATCTTGAAAATGATTATTTTTTCCCCTAAATTTAGTGTGCGTGTATGTGTAAGCATTTCTTCATAAAAAAGACATTAGTTATTTAAATTTACAGTTCTATAAATTTATATATTTTTTTTTGCTTGTACCTTGCTTTCAAATATAGACATATTTATGTATACACGAAGACAGAAGTGCCTTGACACATAAATTTAGGCGCTAGGGAATAAGGGAATATATAAGGAAAATGCATATATTGTATATGCTTCGATATAATATATGAGCTTACGAAATAGAGTTGTATATTTTTATCGATACAAAATAGAGAAATGTTTCTTAAGAAATTTCACGAGTAAATTTCTGAAAAAGATCAAAATTAATCTTTATTTTAAATTATAACTAATGTGATTCTTTTGAATTTATCATGGTTAATTTATTAAAATTATTTAATAAACTAATAATTATATTATTTATATTTAAAAAATAATGAATATCTTTGTTTGATATATCTATAGCCATTGTTGACAAAAAAATGATAGCTATTAATTATATCATATTGAAATTCCATTCATATGAATGCATCATTGTGTTTATAATATTACATTCATTTATTATCATTGGGGAAGTAATAATTATTAGATTAGTATACATAAAATATTTGAACGTTATAAAGACCAGCCTTTTCGTCGCTTTCAAAAGATGTTCTTTCCGGTTTAAACATCTCGTTCGACAGTCAGTTTTAAACTTCCCCAGTCACATGTGCCTCGTGACAGCTGTCTGTACATCCCACACGTCGCCGAATGATAGCAAATGCTTTCGTTGACAAGCACGTGTTTACATACGGAACATTTCGTGTGAGACGAGTGTCTAGAGTTTCGTATCGTGTTCGAGTTTGGAATCGTGTCATGCGTACCGCGTGATTCCGCGGGCAATATATACGGCAGCGTCTACATATCGGCTATGTGTCATAACGCGATGTATCGTCCGATGTATTGGCGGTCGTTAGATAAGAACGGCATCGCTGAATGATAGCAAATGCTTTCGTTGACAAGCACGTGTTTACATACGGAACATTTCGTGTGAGACGAGTGTCTAGAGTTTCGTATCGTGTTCGAGTTTGGAATCGTGTCATGCGTGCCGCGTGATTCCGCGGGCGATATATACGGCAGCGTCTACATATCGCTACGTGTCATAACGCGATGTATCGTCCGATGTATTGGCGGTCGTTAGATAAGAACGGCATCGCTAGTCGATGAAAGGAATTCTAACTAGTCGAGCGTTGCATGTTTTTGTTCTTGGAGTGAGCGGCTATTGTAGCAATTACGATGGGAATAATGAGATAAACATTTATCAGCTCGTGTAAAGCCGTCGTTTAAACGAACGGTTCGGTATATTGTTTTGATCAAGCAAGTATCTTTCTTTTGCTCAAGCTTCTCTCTTCCCCACTTTTCGTTCTATTTCATTAGATTTCATTTTATTTTAAATTCTATTAGAAACAAAAATTATTTTTAAATTATATACGCGTGCTCGATTTTTGTCCGATAACACTAGTTTACAAGGTTTTGTGCCAAAGCATTTGGACACTGTTTCTAGAGTAATTTTAAACGCTGAGCACGAATCTATCATCAACAAATTTCTATTAGGTCAGATTTTCGAGAAAAATGGGATGAAACCCCCCCAAAACGCGTTTTTTACCATCTTTGAAAATTCGTAGCAGACGAACCAGATGTGCAAGAGACTTCAGACAGGGCTCAAATGAAAGCTTCTGAAAGCTTCTTCAAATGAAAGTCTGCTATAAATTTTCAAAAATGATAGAAAACGCGTTTGTGGGGATTTTCAACCTCGTTTTCCTTGAAAACCTGACCCATTTTGCCTTGCGGTTTTGGATTCAACGCCCTAAAATAAAAAAGATATATTTATATAACGTTTCTCGATTTATTATTATCATTAATTTTTATTTTACAAATGATAATTACAAAAAAAGGTTGCAACTTTCATGTTTGAGTTGTTCGTATTTTCACATATTTTTTTTTTTTTTATTATACAACCCTATGTCGTGTGTATTGTGTTCGCGTGTTCTTCTCTTAAAAGAAAATTTATTTCTAAATTATATAAGATTACATTTTTTACATATATAATTAAATTTAATAATAAAATATTTCTTTTCAAACTTTTCATAAGTTTTTGCGACAAGTTTTATCGTATCTCCTTCGCAATCTTTGCTTTTCGGTCCAAGTTACTTAGCCAAGTTTCGGATTAACGAGTCGTAGGACGAGGGCACGTTCTCCACGCCGATGTCTCGTGATTTTGGTTACAGTGGGCTCGAGCACGAGGATGAAGTATACAGCGTGCGTCAGCTGGCCGCACGTGATAGCGGTGCCGATTTCGTGAAATCGGAGAGATCGTTGCTGACCCCGGTGGCGACAGGTGCTATCGAACCAACGTCGGACTCGTGTCAGGTGGTGCTGAACGACGACGAGAAGATTTCCACGAAGGAATTGGCCGTCGACGACGAATCGAGAAGCGACGATCGACCGCTCGCCGTCACCGCGTCCATCTTCCGTTCGGCCAACGGAAAAGACGACACGCGAAAGGACGACGACTTGCCGAAACAGGCACAGAAGAAGAAGACGTCTGTGCGAATTCTCAAGGAGTCTATCAACGAGTCGCTGAAGGAGAACGACGAGCCGGTAGCGGCAGATCGACAGAACTGCTGCCGGCCGGCGTTTGCGAAAACACCCTTTATATTCCAGGTACGATTATATGATATTCGAGAGGATAGAATTGACGTGTTTCTTACAGGGTGTCTTACTCTTTGGAAAAATATGGAAGACCTGGAATTCTTAGAGATTTTTTTTTTTTGTATTTGGAAAGCTCAGGAAATTCTCATGGAATTTTATTGGGACTCAGGGAATTTTGTAAATTCTCTCTTTGATAATTTTGCTCTTAAAATTTAGAAATTCTGATTATTTTATTGTATGATAATTGCAACTCTTATCGCAGGATATGTCTAAAGTACGAAAAACAAATTTTAATTTATTTTTAAAATTTTCTTCTAATCTAATATTATTTTTTATTGAAGATGTTTTTCGGGTCACCATCGCTTATCGATGCCGTAATCCCATTGCTTATTTCTCTTATCGCAGAATGATAAACTAAAAATAAGCAACGTCGAAATTTTTCGTATTTTGGGATAATGTAATCGAATTCGCACTCTCTTGAGAGAAAGAGAGTGATTCGTTACAGAGACGGATAATTGTCAAGGGGGCAAAATTGAATTAAATATTTCAGTTTTTTATATTTTTTGAAGTTTTATGTACTTTTTTAAATCATTGCTCGCGGTATTTTAATTATCCCTTATAAAAACAAAAATAATATATTCTATATTTTATAAAAACATTTTTTTTATTTTTTTGAGTATTATATAATAAAAATAATATTTGATAAACATTTTTTAAAAATGAATATTCTAATTAAGAGAATCTAAATATTCTAAATTCCTAAATTATATAAAAATATCGAACATTCTGAAATATTGTTAATACAAATATTACAATTGAAGTCACCATTAAGCGCCGACGTAGCAAGTTCTAGGATGGCTATCGCTGTTATCTGGAGTCATAATAACGCATCTTTGGCCTCCTCCCCTCTAGATCGATCATGCAATCTTCGGTTTCAGGGTAAACCGGCGGTAGAGCGTGATTCCTTAGACAGTGTCGGACGTCGTGATCGTCCGCAGGCGGTTACAAAACATCTGTTCACGCCACTCGTGCCCATCGTACAGCAACAACAACAACAGCAGCAGCAGGAACAACCGCAACTATCGTGCCGACCGCCGCCGCAGACGGCCACAGCGAGTATCTTCGCGCCTCGCACCGAGGACATGAACAAGGGTTTCCTGACTTTCAGCGAGGATCAGCCGGGTCTTACCAGTGCGTATTCCGTCAGAACGAACTTTTTCCAAATAAATACCAGAAAGGGATTGAACATCTTGGCAACTCTATCTGTCCGAAATGATTTTCGTCTTTCGTTCTATTCTTCGTGAACACCCGCGGATAACATATTTGAAATTTTTTTCGGGAAAAGAAAGGAAAACGCATGCTCATAAAAAAAAAAAGAGAATATGACACATGAGTTGACGTATGAGAATTATTTATCGTTTTAATAGCACATTGCGTGTGATCTGTAGAGAAATTTTATCCGATTAGAGATATCAAACGCAATATTAATTATTTTCTGCAATTTTGTTTTTTATTTTACTTTTTTTACCTTTGACTAAATTAAATTGTTTGACTAAATTAAATTTGATTTAATTTGACTTCCTCGAATGAAATTTAAAATCTCAGTTTGATCGATGGAACTAATAATTTGATATGCTATATACTTAGACTTTATGTCGAGGTCTTCAATTTTCGTCATAGCTTATTACGCTATTTTTACACTCCGTTTTCTGATCAATATTTAATCATCATTCAGAATTCATTAAGTAATTAGATAGAAGAGCCGTGTGTTAAATCGTATATTTATTTTTTGCGTTTTACAGTGTTGAAGGACGAGCCGGAGGACCTGACGCATCTCGCGCCTACGGCTGGCGATGTATGCGTGCCTCTCGAGGACACTCCCTTCCTGTCGGATATGCTGGACGAGTTTATCTTTGGCAACGATAACTACGGTTGCCCTCTGCTGAGTCCGGGCGACACCCTGACACCGGAATTGCGTTCCCCGGATCTCTCGGAGTCTCTTAAGGAGACAGATCTGGTGAGCACTACTACTAAGAGCAAGAATACGACCGATCGCCTGGCCGATAGTGACCCCTTCATGTACGGCGACTCGCCTGGAAGTCCCTGTGGTATCGACTCAAGCACTGTGTCACCATCCCTATCGAAATATCGGCAGGTGAGCAATCACGATCTTTGACAAACTAAAGAAGATCTGTATTCTTTTAAGAGCGATGCCTTTGAATTTTATCACTATTGATTCATTAAATAAAAAATAGTAAATATTAAATATTGTTTATTAGAATATCATTATAAAAATTTTATATTGTTAATAAAGCGATAATTCATTATAATATGTTATTAATATGGTCATTTCACAGAGTCCCGAGCGTAGCGTGGACTCGTTAGGCAGTCCTACGAGAGGTAGTGGTGGCGACGGGCTTTCCGAGGACGAAATGCTCATGTTAGGTATCAGCGATAATATAGGAGACGACGAGCTTGCCCTCAGAGCGCCCTATATTCCCATGTCGGATCAGGACGAAGCATTGGAGTTGCTCATCAGTGACGACATGGTCATGTGGGGCTCATCTCAATCTGATAAAGGATCTTCAAAATGGTAAGTCGCATCAGAACTTAATAATTTCAAGTGAAGTAAATATGGTATTATCTTTTTTTTTTCTCGGATATATCTCTCGTTTACGTTTCTGTTGTTTCTTTTCTGGCAGGCTACTCGACGATCGAGAGCAGCGAGGATCTGAGAGCAGTCTGGCACAACTGTTACGAACCGATCAAGCGGTATCGCGGCGATACAACGATCACGGCGGAGGTCTGATGAACCCGCTCTTCGGACAAATATCTAAGAAAAGTAAGCGCACATTTTTCCAGTTTCTCTGTCTCCGCATGTCTCGCTATGTGTAATTATATTCTTTATTCTTATTATCTATGAAACTTTTATTTTTATTTGCTTTAATATTATAGACGCAGCCTTCGAGTCCGCTCGATGGTCCTCTAACCAGGAACGGACTGACCGTCCTAATAAACGCATCCACTCCGGACTCAACGCGGACTCTCAGAGCGAGCACAAGCGCCTCAAGTGCGGAAACTCGACTTTCGAGCACGTAAATTTTGACGGCACTTTGTTGACGAAGCAGCAGCGACCATCGACGACATCCTACAAAAAGTCACCACAACTGAGTCTCGACAACACTTGCAATAGCCAGCTTCTGCGTCGTCTCGTATCACCACAGATACCGTGCATCGTATCGTCACACACAACGTCTTTGTCCAACGATGGCAGCGATGAACATTGTCGCGGGGATATTTCCAAGCAACGTGCCCGCATTCTCAATGATATCATTGATCTCGTTGAGACAGAGGACGATCACGGGGGAGGAGGCGGAGGTGGAAATCGTGTCGGCGACGATCTAGATAGGATTGGAACGACGAGCCGTAACCAGAATCCGACCTGTGGCGGCAGCAGCGTGCTAATGAATCTCCTGGTTTCCGGCTGCGATGTGAGTGCGGGATACGTTTGCTTGATGAAACCGAAGCCGATGGCGAGAAGTATCGCGAACGCGTGAGAGCGCTTCCGGCACAAAATTTGACAAAAGTCTGAAGAACCGCCTTTTTTTCAGCCGCCATTTCGTCGTCGTTGATTCTCCCAAAGGCGAGACAAATGATCTCTCGATAATGTAGCGAAAATATTCGGAATTCCGGAAATTCGCGTTCCCTCCAAGAAGATTAAAATAGAATGCGTTTAGAAAGAACTTTGGCGTTAAAAATTGAAGACACTACTCGTTTGAAAATCATGTAGTTCCAATCGCAAACTTGTGCTCCGAGCACAGAAATATCAAAGTTTTTTTCGAACTATAGAGAGAACTTTGATTTAAATCGAGATCAAATACATGAGATTGTCGGGTCGGTCAAGGACAATGCACGTGTTTATTTGCTAGATAGATATTCGACAGATGTAAATGTGTTCACATTCGCGTATATATATTATCCGTTGCATTCGTTTGTCGGATGCTCTCAGCAAAGATATTTCGTGTTACAAAAATTGTCTGAAGTCAATTAAGTCGCGGTATTACTTAATTCTCGCGAAAAGCAATATAGATAAATTTCACGCGCTATTCACAAAAAGCCACAAAAAGCAAGATTGGCGATCGATTTTCACAAGATCAAAAATATAGATCTGGACGCGAGAGGGGCCAGAGGAGGCGTCGAGTTGGTATCTGATCGTCATCTCGGGCCGATGGAAGTTCTTCCTACTTTTTATACATGTGTGTTGCTTGTTTCTTGAGCTCGCGTCCGCAAGTCCGAAGATCATATCTGAGATTGCAAAGTAGAGCGGAAAGAAGGGAAAAGCGTACAGTTTGGGTTTTAGAGAAAAAGGAAATACAAACCGAGTCTGTTGCGAGTCAAAGACATAACCGAGCGAGATAGTTTCGCTCGGTCGTTTAATCCTAAAATGCACTGCGCGTTCGATGTTTATCTTAGATACGGAGATGTAGATACATATATATAGAATATAATTTAGGCGATAATTACGCTTTTTCTCATATTAGAAATGAAAAATAAAGAATTAATGTATGTGATGAGAAGAAGAAAGAGAGAAAGAGAAAGAAAGACCTCTTGTAAGTTGATATTTACTATGATATTTCTAGAATTGTATATGCGTTTTGTTAGAGATTTATATATATTATATAAAACGTTATTTTTTGGAGTGCATTTTAGAATTAAACGAGCGATACTTTAGAGTCACGTTATGTATACAAATTGCAAAGTATATGGAATTGTTGAATGTTATGGAAAATACATAGAACATCGAATCACCTGATTAGCTGCGTTTCGTTTCCTTCCACTGTCTTCCCTCAACATCTATCGTCGTCCCGCGATTTTACCATTAAATCTATCGTCAAGGACCATAATTTTTAAATGTGTAATATAATTTTATATTGTCGTCCAAATCGTCCTTTCAATTATCAAAGGTTGAAGTTAAAATTTTTTAAGTGAAAAAAGAGATCAAAATTACTTGGATATATGTGGAAAACAATATAAAAAATTAATATTTAATTGTTCGAAATAAAAGAAAAGATGATATATTTTGAAAAGAATATCAATTCATCTAATTTCTCTGCCTTATCTCGTGATATATCTTTTTCTTATAATTTTATATAGCGATTCTAAATGATTATTTTTTCTTATTATTCATAGATCAAATACTCTCAATATCAAAAATCCTAAATAAAGTGATTTCATCAAGTAACTAGAAAAAAGAAAAGATATATTGACTAATAATGAATTATTGGATATACATATGACTTATTTTCAAATTCTTTGTTCGCTTGATAGCGAGGAATCGCGATTCCCAGAATGGCTATCGTTCATTACGATTTACATGAAACTTATTTACGCCAAGTATACATTCCAGATCAAGCAATGTGATAGTCACGGTCGCTTTGCTTAACATATATTATGTTCACATCCATTGATGATCAAAACGTCTCTAGAGTCGCTCGAACGACGAAGGGCCTCGAGCGTTAAAAAAAGTCTTATCGAAAAAGCCTTTATGGCCTGTTATCAGCCGCATGATCTCTCTTCTCCCCTCTATCTTTTCCCTTCCTTTCGCGAAACGCAGCAATATCCTTCTCGATATCTTCTTCAAATCGACCGCAAGAAGGGACCTCATTTGCCGAATATTTAAAAATTAGGCGCTTATTTAATATTAACTCATTTTCGCGAAGTATAAAAATATACTTCAATCTAATTGCCGGCGAACTTATTGAAAGACAACATTTTATTCACGAATTTTTAATAACGTTTGTAATTAGTGAAATTATCATCAGCCTACATAACTAATTATCTATCACAAGCCCGCGGTTCTTAAAGCGTTCAATAATTCTCATAAAAATAAAAATTTATCGAGAACATCTTGTGCATCTTTTCCAATACATCCTGTATAAAAACGGCATTTCTATCGGATTCTTTCTCTTTCAGGATCCTCTCATGAATTCTCGCAACGTGCCAATCCTGTTATCGAGGAACCTGACGACCCCGTTGTCCATCAATGTGGACAACCAGATAATACCACAGTGTTTGAACGCGGACAACATCGTATCTCTACCCGATCATCTCAGCCCGGACACCAGGAAGCACCTGATCGGGCCCTTCACCGGCGGCGGTGGTGATGGCGGAGGAACAACACCCATAATTTCACCCACGACGTCCGCGATGGCGTCCTTCGACGGTTTCGATTACGACGGATCCACCGCGAATCTGCTACAAATCGGTCCGGATCTGCTCGGCGGCCTGTTGGACCGAAATCTGGTATGATTCAGCGCGCGGCCGCATCGAAAGACGATTCGATCGGAGGAATTAGAAGCCGGATTCTTTCGACAGAAAGCGAGAAGATTCAGAATTTGTTTCCCTATCTTTTTTGTACAATATTTTGCTACAATCGATATTTTTAAGCCTTTGTTAGATTTTTTTTTTGTTAATTACAATGCGAGATGTGTCGCACCTCAAACTGAAAACTGCTTCGGTTCACAAACTGAAAAATGTCATCGTTGTCAAAAATTATTTAAAAAATGTTCCTGCTGTAATCCAACTCTTTCAATAAATACATAAAGATCGAAAATTAATGCTGGTAATTAATTAGTTATTGTATGGGGTGCAACATATCCAATTTCAGTCATTTAGAATCATTATATACTAATAATAAGCATAGAAATAACGAGGAAAAAGATTAAACCACGTTTGAAGCGCGATTCATCGTATATTCAAAAAATATGTCCAATTAATGTAAAAGTGGCGCGACTCGGGCTTAGGTTAAAATTTAATTGATATTTTTAAAGCAAATTTTTTTATATAAAATGTGATTTCTTCAAATAGCGAATTTGACTCGCGTCACTTTAACATTTAATTGACCGATTTAATTTACATTCTTCTATTATGAAATTTTTGAGCGAACGCAAGTGTGTGCCAATTGGCCAAGTATGCCAACGATTTTTACGAATTAGTATGAAATGAATTATATTGTATAAAAATTAATACGCTCGAACTGCGTAGCGAATTAAATTTGACGAGATGACGCTTCGTTGTAGAAATTACTAAACAAACCATATCTTACACAATCAAGTCGAGTAGAAGGCTATACCGTTTTTATAAAATCGTTTTATAAAAAAGGGAGATTTTCGTGCACACACAAATCTTAACTTTATTCCCATCATTGTGTGTTCCTTATATCAATCAATGCACTATAAATCTTCTCGACTGTACATTGCATCAAAATATGTTGATAAATATTATCTGAAAATAAATTATTTTGTAAATTAAAACCGATATTCTAGAAGATTATATTCTACCATGCAGGTTGTGATACTTGTACTAAATTTTTGTTTGATTATGTTTAGCTATTTCCACAAAATGATGTTCAATATATAATACAGTTTAAAATAATACTATATGCGTATTATCAAGGAAGAAGTAAGGAATATAGTAGCTAAGATATTATCTAATAATAATTATCATGATCGGATTAATGTGTTCATGGATTCATAGATTCGGAATAAAAACATATTTCAATTTTTGAAAATAAAATTAGCGGAATGATTGCATATTTTTAACTGGAAAAGAATGAGAATGTTATAGCCTTCAGTAGCTCGGCCTGTCTTTTTTTAAAATTGTATATAAACAAGTGCATTTACGCGCATTGGTGCGCATGCAAGATTATATATCATTAATTCAACTAATAATAGGATTCGATACTAATAAAAGTGTTAAGTTGGGAGCGATGAAATGATGATATCGAGTGCGAAAAATTGTTAATCGACGATTGCTTCGCTTTAATATGGAAAAAAAGGTAGCAGCTAAAAAAGGAAGTGCTTTCCAGTATGATTTTTATTTTTAACGCGATGTTAAAATTACAAAATGGAAGCATTTTTATAGCATCTTTTTTTATTTTTCGCATAATTTAGTTTTAACATTCCTTAAAATCGTGCTTCGCGAATATTTTGTCAATGAAATAATAATAAAATAACACGCTAGAATATCGATTTTTCATCCTGATTCCTGAAATTGACGAGCATGACAAGCCGTAGGCGTTGCTGCTTCCTCAGCATCGAGTATCAGTTATGATGTCGACATCTTTTTGTCATTATCGTTGTCGTCGTCATTACTGATTATTGTTACTGTTATTGTAGTTTCTAGTAAACTCTACTAGAGGTTATCGTTTGTTGCAACTGTACTGTATAATTGCCTGACATACAATCAATTAATATTACATAGTACTATGTTTATCGCTGTGATTATTACCGCTGCGACTATTATATGAAAATGTATACATATATTTTTTTTATTATGTGTAATTATATTATTTTAATACTTTAACATGCATACAAGTCTAACCACATTATAACAATGTTGAATGGATTGCTAGTATAATATGGACACATGATATGGATATGATAGAAGGTAAATAAATGATGTTTCTAATTAATTAAAAATAGATTATTTATCTTTTTTTCTTCTAAATCCTATTTCCGAGAATGTTTAAGTCTTTAATTTCAATGGCAATGGGGATAATAATTTTAAATTAAATACTGGGATTAAATAATTTTAATTAAATACTGGGATAATAATTTTAAATTAAAATTGAAAAATTTGATTTCTTTCTTCTTAAAATTGATGTTTTCAAATATTTCTATATTATAAGTGCTTCAAGTTAATAAAAAGAATTGCATTTAAAAGTATCATGTCATTATTTCACATTTTTTTCTCATCACATTATGCTGTTTATGTTAATCATCATTTATATGTTTTTATGTTAATTATAAATGAATCATAGTCATCTTAGTCATCTTTAATGCATCAGAACGATTCTGATGCAAGACATACAGGCAATGTGGCAAGTCAATTTGCTACATTACTTATATAAAAGAAGAAGGAAGTGCGTGTGCGCAGCTGAATACGCCTACAAAGGGAAAAACATGCTGGAGCTGGAGACCATTTAAGACAGGGATTCTCAAGCTCACGGGTCATCCGTAAAAACTCAATAAACCGATAATCTGAATATTTATTTTCTTCTCGAAAGCATCGTTATTGTAATTATTAAAGTATCTAATTTTGTGTCAAATTGTCGATGTTTCGCTTCTCTCGCGAAGGTTACTAGAATTATCTAGCGTGAGTTTTCTCTTTTTATTAGAAACATGCAAACGGAACGCGATAAGATCCGAGGTTTGAGAATCCTTGGTTCGTGGTGACGTAACGGAGAGGTGCAGTGACGCACCCAGCTGTTGACCGCAATGGACCCCTATGACAGGCTCGCGGTCGCTTGCGGTTCGACCAATCGTCGTGCTACACGTCCGCCTGACGGATGTAGCCGAGCGTGGCCGATAACGCGCGAACGCTATCGCATCGCGTCAGTTTGTTGCATCAGCCGATAGATTGTGGATTATGGGTGTGTTTATGCGTTCGGTTATGTCGAGAAGGATCAGTTGACATCGAATGGTGGTGCGGTATACTAGGTAGAGAGGCGACGATTGGAACCACGATATATTAGGTCATATAATAAATTCAAAAGAAGTCATCATCGAGAGATTAGCGGAAAAAAGAGAGAGAGAGATTTGTGTCGTCGTATGGCGGATTATGAGCTCCTCG